TCACCATTTGTAAAATGTTAATAGTTGTTATCCAAATATAAACACTTATATAATGAACAACTTTAAACATGAACTCTTGAATTATGTTATCATTCATGGATTGACCGAGCTTGTAGTTATTCGCTAACTTTTACCGGCCATCTGCAGACAAAGCATCGTACTTAGATGCAACCAAGCATAAAATACCAATTATAGATCGATTTTAAGTAAAGATTCCAACAAACCTTTTTGGAATAAATGAAAACGAAAAAAATATACATTAATTTTTGTTGGAACTTTATATATAAAGGAATTGCAAGTTGGCAATTTCCTTTGTATCCCACATTGGTGGGGGAAAGAAATTTTTGTGGGTTTATAAGCCTATTCCCTTGGTAAGCCTTCAAAGGCTTTAGTGGATCAAAGGAATGGACCAAGCCCGCGCCCTCCTAGCCTAGCCTAGCACTAGCCGACACTGTGAGTGCGCGAAATGGCGCGATTTAGGCGCACTTTGCACTATGGTTGACCGTCGTTAACTTCATGGAGGCCAAGTCAGGGTATTCTAGAAGGATCAGGAAACGCTTTACTTGAAGAGCAAGCTGTCACCCTAGGGTTTCTGGGGCCGGCCTATGGGGGCCCGTTTGATGCCTTCTAGGGTTACGATACCTCTAGGAGCCGCATGAACTCCACTCGAAATCTGAAAGCTTCCTCCCTCTCTCTGCGTTTTTTCCCTAGTTTCCAAGTAGTCGTTTAGTGTTTGTCGATTTCCAGTGTTGTTGGACTATCGATAAAGCTGCATTAAATCCTGGGGTTTTACTCTGTTGCTTACAGCCAGTACAAGTGAAGTAAAAACCTTTAAGGACAGCAGTCTGATCCGTGCAGTTGCTTCAAGATCAGCAATCAACAGGTCGGTTTTACTTTTCTGTCTTGTGTTTAATTCGTCCAATAACAGGACAGTCTTCTTCTACCTTTCTTAAAAACCGGATCTAATCGAGAAGGATAGATCTGGTTTCTGGACGAAACTCGGTAAATACAATAATAATAATAATTGGATCTATTATTCGCAACTAATTGACATATAATTCTCAATATTATTTGTCGGTTTCCTTGCGCGTCTATTAGTTTGTTATTTACAACAATCTTAAAGGTTTTTATTTATTGTGATCAATCAACAGACTAATGGACTCTACTGCTAGCCTCCATTTCATGAACCAAGAGTTTGCCAAACTTGACACATTCGATGGTCAGAACTACACTTGTTGGGCCGAAAAGATCAAGTTCATGCTTCATGTCTTGAATCTCTCCTTTTTGTTGGACCCAAAACTGGCACCAATTCCTGATGATCCAATTCTAAAGGAAGGGGAATCTGTGGACCCAGCGGTCATTACAGATTTAGAAAAACAAAGGCAACTGCGTAGAGAATCCGAGGAATTGTGTGTGGGTCACATCAAGAATTCCCTATCTGATCGGCTCTATGATCATTACTCGTCGGTCAAAGATCCTAAAGAGCTATGGAGTGCGTTGGAACTCAAGTATAAGGCACATGAAGAAGGTACTAATAAGTACCTTGTGTCCAAGTACCTTGAGTTTCAAATGATTGATGACAAACCAATTATGGAGCAAGTGCATGAACTCCAAGTCATGGTCAACAAGTTGGACGCACTCACCATCTCTCTTCCAGAACTCTTTCAGGTTGGTGCGATCATCGCAAAACTGCCACCCTCGTGGAAAGATTTTTCTAAGAGAATGATGCACAAATCTGAGGACTACTCCTTGGATGATCTGATAAAGCACCTCCGCATTGAGGAGGAAACTCGCATCAGGGACAAGCAAGGTAAAGTTGGACAAAGTGTGCATCATGTGTCAGCTGGGAGTTCTAGCCACAAAGGCAAATCTGGGGGACAGAACAAGAAGAATTTTGGACCCAAGAAACAAAGCTTCAAGAAACCGGGTCATCAGAATCCTAACTCAAAGCTAAAAAGGGCCGGTCCTTGCCACGTCTGCGGAGAGATTGTGCACTATGCGAGAGAATGCAAAGATTGCAAACTAGTACCGGTTGCACATCCAGTCGAGAAGGTAACTGACATGGTGGCTAGTGTGAACAGTGGTGAGATTTTCATGATCTCCTCTCTTACTCGAGCAATCTATGCTCGAGGTTGGTTCGTGGACACTGGAGCCACTGTGCATGTTTGTGGGCAATGAGAGAGCTTCCGCACCTACCAACCCATGCCTCATGGGACGGTTGTCGTCTGTGCTGATGGCCATAGAGCTGAAGTTCTAGGAAGGGGTGATGTTCGGTTGAAGTTCACATGTGGTGAATGGGTGACTCTTCGAGATGTTCTTTATGTTCCTACTATCTCGAAGGGTTTGGTTTCTGCGGACAAGTTTGACAAGGGTGGGTTCAAGATGGTGCTTGAGAGAGGCAAATTTGTGATCACTAAAGGCAGAAGATATGTTGGGAGGGCGAACAACACTTCGGGAATGTATCGTTTGTGTCTTAGTGATGAGGGTAATATGAGTGGTCCTAGTGTTGAGAGTGGTGTTGCTAGTGTGTCGAGTGTTGGTAATGATGTAATTGATGGATTGGTTGCTAATGTGAATGAAGTGAACTTTTCTTGTTATATTGTTTCTTCAATTTCTTTATGGCATAAACGTTTAGCTCACACTAATGTTAAAAACATTGAAAAAATGCAAACTAAAGGTATGTTAAAATATGACACAAATGATTTTGAAAAATGTGAAACATGTGTAAAATCTAAGTTCACTAAGAAACCATTTCCATCTGTTAAGAGAAACACACTACTAGAAAAAAGGCCTTTTACGACGCTCATTGCGCGTCGTAAAACGCTCAGACGACGCGCAAATGCGTGTCAAGGAAGGCCATGTCATAAAGAGAGACGACGCGCTTTTGTGCGTTGTCTATAGACGACGCGCATTTACGACGCGCGGTTATGACACGCAATGCGTATCAATGAAGGCCCTGTCATAAAGGAAGACGACACGCATTTGCGTGTCGTAACCTTATGACGCGCGTGTTTATGACACGCAATGCGTATCAAGGAAGCCCCTGTCAAGAAAGACCATGTCATAAATGAAGATGACACACATTTTTGCGTATCATAATTTTAAATGTTTAAAAAAATATTATTTATAGATTTGCTTATTTTCAAGCTAAATTTGTATTTAATGTTTAATAATAGATAATAAAATATCATATACAAAAATAGAATCCATTGCATAAATTTAATGTCATACAAATAATCGTTCCATATGTAAACAAATATATACCAAAAACATCATGTCAAAAAATTGTAATACATTTATATTAAGGGGATCTAATTGTACATTGTTATTAAGAGGTTTTCCCTAAATATATAACATAATACTAAATTGCTATTAAGGGACACCTTATGCAATGTAATGCTATACAAACTAAAAAGATATACACAAAGATGATAAACATCAAATTCCAACTAAGTAGAGTTGAATCTTGCCTTTCATACTTCTTTAAGACTAATATTGAACCCCTGCTCCGATAATTCTTGTGACCTGATCAAATAAAAGTCAAAAATTAATATGTTAATACAATTATTAGAAGAATCAAACTTGGAATGTTAGTTGTAAAAGACGAAATTACCCTTTTCTCCATCCAAAGAATTTGGGATTTGGAATAAATACACTACAATATGAATTACCTAATATCAACAATGACAAACACAATGACAAGAATACCCGCATACAAATGGTAAATATTATCTGTAAAGCTATCAACAATGATATTCACAATGACAATCTTTGATCATATAAACTAGAGAGTATATCATCACAATTCCATCTAACACCACCCATTAGAACACGTAAAGCTACTCAACCAACATATCATGTCATGTAATGTATTTTTTGTCAGTATATCTTCACATAGAAAAAAAAAGTGAAATAAATAAAAATAACAACCTTCTCATTTACTGAAAATGGATATTGTTCACATATATGGGAGCCATTTTCAGAATTACCATCCCCATTTACCTGAAATCATTCATGCCATTTTAACTCAAATAATTTATTTATAGTAAAAAAAAATATTTATAATTATAGTGTTTTGATTATATAATATATACCCATCTGTCACTGACTCCTCATTCGTCATAAGAATGAACAAATATTTTAATTAATTACCTTGAAATGATAATAATATAAATACTATAACACCATGGCATGGTATATTTGAATAATACCTAGTGTAGCATCCAAGATAAGACGTTGACTTGTTGCTTGAGCAGATTTTGCAGTGTATGCTTTAAGGGCATCATCCCACCGTTGCAGCTTTTCATACCTTGTATTTGGAAGCAACATAAACAATTAATATTTTGAGAAAATAAGACAATGTAAATGATTTCAGGGTCCTGGAAATATACCATGATTCCTTCAGTTGTAAATCCAAACAGCATCCCATATATAGTTATATACTTAAGAGAGTGAAAAAAGGAAAGTGAGCTAGTTTCTATATATGCTTACCCTCCAAAAAGATAGAAGTGAAAGTATCCAAAAGAAAGCACTTATCCACCTTGATTCCTTATATGCAATCCACACCTGATCAAAAGAAGCAATCAAACATTATTGTTATAACAAAAGTCGAAAAATCTCCTTTTCACTATAGTTGGAAAGTATATAATAAACAAAGACTTACTGCTACAATGACAATACAAAAATAGAAATCGGTTGTTGTTGCTATCATGCACCTGTGAGCATTTACAACTATGTATGAGCATTTACTATTACACTTTTTTACATAAATTAAATAAAAGGGAAATTTTAAATGGTACCTTGATAATACATTGGCATTGAATGTAGATCCATCAACGATAAGCACATAAATAAAAGTTCCCAGCATCAAGTAGCCTAGTGCAGAAATGATTATTTTTGCAATTAAAACAAAATGTCCCCTTTTGTATCCCATGGCATCCCTATATAAGCCAAATATATAATAAAATTACAAGCATTTTAGCAAACATTTTTACTTGATTTTAGTTTTTGTTATCGTTATTGGACATGTCCCTCAAAAGATATAATGGATCCTTTGATGATTCTTCTGGTGACAACTTAAAGAACTGCAGAGCCACGTATCATTTGTAATAGGGCTGTAGAAGGAATGAAAATTTACTTAAAACATGTTACACTTGTAATTAATAGTAATAATAATAATAAAGTTTAATTACCTTCCTGCAAAAAGTACAACAGGTATCAATACAGCTGCCTTGATCCAGCATGATTCCTTGTAGACTATCCAAGCCTAAGATTGCAAGTATATACACAACCACATATAACTCCATTTGATTCAACAAGCTTGTAACACCATGGTCAAGATCAGTTCCAAAATCCCCAGTAAACACGCCACCTGAATAGAACTGGAAACCCATGCCACTGGCATCAATGGCAACTGATACGGGTTGATTAGCGACTGCCTGTAACAATGCGGAAGAAGCAAACCCAGTGTAATCACCTGAATTCAAATAAAAAAAAATGAGATAAAAAATGATTATTTTTATTTTTAAGGTAGCAGCAGAAAATTAGTTTACCGTTTGTTTGTGCTGGAGAAGATGCGTTTTTTAATTTTTCAGCAGATGATTTGCCAGGCCATTGTTTAAGAGGGCGAATAACCAGAGCTCTTGGATTCTCCCTTGGAATAAAAAGAGCATCTGCTTTTGGTGTGCTGGTAGTCTCTTCATCATCACTAAAAAACGAAACCTGTAATTGTAAAAAAAATAAATCAGATCCATAAAAAACAATAAGGGCAAAATAGTCAATATAACAACAGATATTACCTTTTGCCCATCGTTTTTCGGGTGATACTTTCTAGCACCCCACGAATTTTTTACCAACCAGTACTTCATGCCAAAGCTGTGTATATGATATATTCACCATCACCACAGACAACAACATACCTCCTATTTGGGTTGTGCTTCAAGCTATGTGGAAAAATAGAAAAGTCAAAGTCCATATGGTTGACTATTTTCAGTTTAAAGGAAGGTAGGAACAAGCATAACTCACTTGTGGATAAAGATCACATGTTCCCAGTTCTTTAACTTCTAAAGGCAGCCTCTCTCCATCAGAAACCTGAATAAAAAATAGATTTTTTTCCCATTTCATTGTTAACATAACATAACATGTATATGGGCTTTCAAGTCCAAACCTCATGATCAGCTCCCACACTCTTGATGTTAATAGTTTGAATTTCTTTATGTTTAGACCATATAATTTTTCCACTATTGTCCATGCTGGCTACAGGCTCTTCATGTCCAATTTTCACCATTATGGTTCCTTCTGTTGGATAAGGTGTCTAAGTCCATAACTATTTCTAGTATGTACTTGACCCGACCCGGCATGGTCCATTTGGGTTGCATGGCACCATGCAATTGGATAGACTAAATGAGAGAAATAACACTTGGAGATTATTAATATATTATAAGTTCTAATATATTAATAATATTATTTGATTAGTTTGATCAAGAATTAATTATGTGATCAAAAGATAACTAATTAAATATATGGGTTGATTATGTAAATCATCCATATCTTGTATAGTGGGCTAAAAGGCTCCATGGACTATCAAGTTGGGTTCCACCCATAGGATGCTCCATGGATGCTCCATGGGAGTTACAAACCCATGGGTCATGGAAATGAAGAGTCATGACACATTAGGGTTTAACCCTAGATGTGTCAACACTATATAAGTAACATGTTCTCCACCTAAAAATCGGCTACACTAAGAAACAAGAGGGCTTGGCCGATTTTGAGAAGTGTGTGTTCTCTCATAAGTTCTTCCAAGAGCATTTGGTGTTGTGTGAAGCATTTGAGGCATCACACTTGGGGTGCTAGGCTCACAAGGTTTCAAGGAACACAAACAACAACAAGGTAAGTTATTCTATCTATACTTTAAGTTAAAATTGTTCCCCATGTATGCTAGATAGGAATATAACCTTGGAATTCAACTTTGCATGATAATTAGACAAACATAGATCCAAGGTTATTAGGGTTGCATGTACACTTAGGAAGTGTTAGAATGCTCAAAACCCATCAGTGATATCAGAGCCTAGGCTTGTTTGCTCTTATTTGTGCTTAAAAGTTGAAAAAGAATCGAAAATCTTGCTGTCTGCGAATGGACTCGTCGAGTCTATAGGGGGGACTCGTCGAGTTCATGAGTATCTTCAACCAACTCGGCGAGTCAGTTCATGCACTCGGCGAGTAGGGTCGACTGATTGCAGAATTTCGATTCAGTTGCTGGAAATGAATTAGAAACATTACCCTAAACTGTTTTGGTAATTGAAAACTTGTTTTTGGTGGTGTAATGTCTTTGCTAATTCATTTACAACAACTAGTTATCAAAATTACAAAGTTTTAAATGTAATTTTTGATTGTGTTCATATTCATGTTCTTGTTCTTATGATGTTTTAGATGATCATAGGAATTATTTGTAACCTATGTGGTAGATTAATTCTTGATCATAATGTGTTTTAATGGAGTCCATAACTTGTCCTCAAGTTATGGAAAACCAAGAGTCACACTTGAGTTAAAACCATTAAAACAAATACAAGAGTTAGAAAAATGAAGAGTCTTCATTTTATTACTCTATTAAACTCATAAGTTACAAGAAATGAAAAGTTTTGAAAGTTACAAAACTTGCCCTCAAGTTTTGGAACAAGTAAAGTTAAGTTAAAATTTTAAGTTCCAACCCCTAGAATTTTAAAAGTTAAAATTCAACCCTTATACTTATATTATGATGATTTAATAATTATATATATATATATATAATATATATATATATATATATATATATATATATATATGTATAAGAATAAAGTCGTCTTACCGCTAGTACGCCTCATTCACGAAGCCGGTCTATAAGGTGGGTATAAGGTTGTTGCCTATAAAATGGTGACTTAATGGGTGTCTACTCTCACCCACCGCTTGCTTGACTGGTGGAGGTCGTTAGCCGAACGGGTAAGACAAGGACTTATAAACTCTCATTCAAAGTATGATGAATATTATAAAGTAACTAAATGTTTTATTAAATTCCCAATCTTAGTTACTTTAGGAAAATGTGAATAAGGTGCTAATCCATGAAATTACACTTTACACTTTGTCTAAGTTGTTGGTGGAGCGTGTGTGGTTAACCGGCACACTAACTTGGACTTAACAAGGTAGGTAAAGGGTGACTTAAGGTTTATTATAGTATCGGTGGAGCATGTGTGGTTTACCGGCACATCGATTGAGTGATAAACTTTAAGGGTACCAAGTGATTTGCATGGTTACTTCACACCTCGTTTTGTGATCCTCGGTATCCCAGTCACAAAACTTGGAGGGCACTCTCGAGATTGAAACATGCCTTTGAAAAGTTCATTGAATCTCAAAGAATCTAGGAATTTCTAAAAACCAATAAAACCTAATATCTAATATTTCGGTTTTCGTGGTGGAAATTGGTGAATCGTCATTCACCTACCTTTCAAATATGTATAACTTAGATTACGGCATACCTCTTCTAAGTTATATTATATTGTGATTGGATCCTAGCCTTAAATTACATTTGGGTGTTTTATTAAGGACTCTCTTAAATCTATACTAAAATTGTTCTTCTCTTTCAGATGTCTTCAAATAATGCTTCTGGCTCGAATCCTAATGGCTCCTTTACTCTTATGAGTTTGTGTAGGAAAGTCACCTTTGATGGATCCAACTTCAATAAATGGATCAGAAACATCAGGATGATTACCCGCTACGAGGACAAAGAATATGTCCTTGACAAGGAGCTTAAGGAAATTGATGAGTCCACTGCAACTCCCAAGGAGATCGCTGACTTTCATACTCATGAAAGAGATGCAAACAAGTGGCTTGCATCATGTTGGCCACAATGACAGCTGAACTCCAAAAGTCTTATGAAGATTTCTACCCTTATTGAAATGCACCAAGATTTGATGGAAAGATACCATCAAAGTGCACAACAAGAGAGGTACGAAGTCATCTGCTCCATGATAACAACCATGATGAAGGACGGAGATTCCGTCACGAGCCACATGCAGAAAAATGCAAAGGTATGTGGATCGTTTGCTGAAGCTTAATG